TTCGTATTTCAACGCAAACGGCATAAAGGGTCAAAGGGATGAAATCGCGGAATTCCTTCGCGATTATAACGTAGATATTTTCCTAGTGCAAGAGACATTCTTGAAACCTAGTGTACGCGATCCCAGAATCGCAAATTACAATATTGTCCGCCACGACCGGTTAGCAAACCGTCTGGGAGGCACACTTATTTATTATAAACGGTCCTTGCACTGTTGCCCGCTCGACATTCCAGAGCTAAGTCAAATAGAGGCATCCGCGTGTAGGTTAGCGCTTACCGGCCACAGGCCGCTTGTACTAGTCTCAGCCTACCTCTCGGGGAATAGAACCCTCCTTCAAAGCGACCTAGATACGCTTCTTAACTTAGGCCCTTCCGTGATAATTGCAGGAGATCTAAACTGCAAACACGGCTCATGGGACATCAACAGCATCCCAAACAACAACGGAAAGCATCTCTTTAGCTTATCCGATAACCTAAATTTTAGTATAGTCGCTCCCGCGACATCCTACGGTGGACAACTACCAGCACGCGTCACCGAGTGTCCTAGACATAATGATATTCAGGGAGGTCTCGCTCGACATCGAGTCGATAGAGACAATCCATGAACTAGACTCAGACCACAGGCCCGTCCTGTGTAAACTGGGCCAGAACGCCGGCGCGGTCCCTCCGACCAAATCCGTAGTGGACTGGCATCGTCTTGAGGTCAAACTCAAGGCCTTGGACCCCCCAGGACTTAGTAGACTTACCCGAGACGATAGCTACGTTCGATGACGCAAATCGAGCGATAGCGAGTCTCCGCGAAACTATTACTTCCGCAGTCACAGACTCGGAACGGACAGTGAAACTGTCGGGCGACCGACGGTTTAACTTTCCACCCGACCTGCGACTGCTAATTAGACAGAAAAATGCAGCCAAACGCGCCTTCGACCGATACCGATCGGAATCGAACAGAACCCTACTTTGACGCCTTCAGCTAGAAGTCAAAGATCGTGTATCGGAACACCGACACACAACGTGGGACACTCTCCTAGAGGACTTCGAGCCATCGCACACTGCCTACTGGCGGTTGGCCCGCAGTCTGAAAGCAGACCCCCGCGAATCTCTACCGCCGTTAGTTAGACCTAATAGCGCTTCAGTAGCCCTAGATGACTCCGAAAAAGCCGAATGCCTTGCGGACAACCTAGAGCAGCAATGTACGCCATCGCGCGAACACACCGATTCGGTCCACCTAACGGAGGTGGACCGCATAATCGAGATTAGGGCTGCGCTTCCACCGGAAGGCGAACCTTTAAATTCAGTGACCCCCGAAGAGGTCAAAGATGTTATAAAAAAAAAAAAAATTTAAACCAAAATCCGCCCCGGGCCCAGATAATATAAGTAATAAAATTCTCAAAGCTCTCCCTGGGCCGCTTATCTGTTTACTGGCGACCATTTTTAATACCCTTCTCTCCAGTTGCTCCTTTCCGGACGACTGGAAGCAAGCCACGGTTATCGGCATTCGCAAGCCGAATAAACCAGCCAATAAGCCCTCTAGCTATCGTCCCATCAGCCTCCTCAGTTGTCTGGGGAAGCTCTACAAGCGGCTCTTGTTAAACAGGCTCAAAGAGCACGTATTTTCCAACGGCCTTCTGCCGACGGAACAATTCGGCTTTCGAGCTAGACACTCTTGTCCCGATCAGTTATACCGCCTAACGGAGCACATCCTAAAAGGCCTTAACCACCCCAAACACATCAACAACAGGGGCTCTCTTCTTCGATGTCGCAAAAGCATTCGACAAAGTCTGGCACAACGGCTTGCTTTACAAGCTGTACACACTCAAAGTGCCAGATAGGCTCGTACACACCATCCGGGCCTTTTTGTTGAACCGCTCTTTTCGATATCGAGTCGAGTACACCCTCTCCACAAGCCGCCGCCTCACGGCCGGCGTACCACAAGGCTCCTGCCTCTCACCCTTGCTATTTACGCTCTACACGAGCGACATACCTAGAGACCCCCACGTCAATCTCGCGCTTTTCGCGGATGACACGGCGCTCTTTTACTCAGATCGCAACCTCAGTCAATTAACAGCTCGACTCCAAAGCGCCGCTGACCGCCTCGGCGATTGGTTCCGCAAATGGAGAATCGATATTAATCCAGAAAAAAGTGTGGCGATTCACTTTACTCGTAGCACCAGTAAGAGCACAATAAGCAAAGTAAAATGCCCTTAAGGCACAAACTACTGTTATATAAAGCCTGCGTAAGGCCAATCATGTCCTACGCTTGCATGATCTTCGCACATATAAATCCTACGCGCATTAACAAATTGCAATTAGTTCAAAGTAAGTTTATCCGCCGCGCAACCGGTGCGCAATGGTATCAGCGCAACGTCGACCTGCACAGTGATTGCAGACTCCCGACGATTCGCGCACATTTTAAAGATTTGACAAAACGGTTCTTCGATAGAGCCCAGCATCATCCCAACCCTCTGGTGGTAAGCGCAGCAAACTACCAACCGGACACAAACGCGAACGTAAACAAGCGTCGCCCGCGAAACGTCCTCATCGACCCGGTCGACGAAGAGGACTTAGATACGATGGACCCACCGCCGGGGGTCCCGCCGGATAACACTACACCGACAGTTAGTGTAACAACAATCACACCAGTTCGCCCTCGCCTCCGAGCACGGCGAGACCCACACAACGCGTACACAAGGTACACCCGCGTTCCGGGGCGGTTCTCACCGCTCCCAGCCACCGATTAGCTAAATGCACAGTCGACGGCCGTCGGGGTCTCGGTCCGAACCAGTGACCTCGACGGCCCTTAAATGACACACCATAGTAGTTAAACGCACGCATGAGCACATGCGCGACCCTACCCATAGCGGAGGGTCCAAACCCGTGGGTTCTGGCTAGCCCACCGGTTCTGCGTCCGATGAAGCTTTAATAGTCTCGGGACCGAAAGCAAAAACATCAGTTAATACAAGATACAAGATAGTTACTTTTATGATTAAACTTTATTTGAAATAACACACGGTAATAGCTGCGATATAAATAGGCTGAACTTAATGAGTTAATGACACAACTTTTTAGTAAACATTTTAGCGTATAAATTTCTTTAAATATTACTCGTATTGATGACATTATAATGACCGCTGCAAATTTAACTACATTAGTGTTTTAAGAGTCGGCAACACATTTGCAACTCCGCAAATGTTGTTCATGTCCCTTGGCGGTGGTAATCACTTAACATCAGGTGAACCACCACTGCTCTACCAAATTTTCACAGGAAAATCTCCCTATATTACGCTACGGAATATACGAAAGTTAAAAATCTAATCATAAAAAGTAATCATAAATTATATCGTTACTTGAATAACAACATTTGCCTTCTTTACCTTTACCTCAATACCGAAAGCTAGCTGCTCGTTATTTTCTTGGTAATAAGTTACGGTCGAGTAATATTTCGTAATAAAACTAATACACGCGTTCTGCCTTCTTCGCTAAACTAACTAATAATTTCTTATTGGTAAACTTTTTCGATTACCACAATTTATTAGTAGACTAAAATGAAATTAAGATGATAACTTAAGCTAAATTTGTGTTAATATGCATTCAGCATTTTACCTATTTTTACTTATGATGTGATGAAGCACCAAACCTTAATTAAATTTGTACTTGTCGAAGATGTAACATATATCTTCAACAAGTACAAATTTAATTAAGCCCGGGATTTCAGCCAGGAAATCAGAACTGTTGTGAACTCATAAGATGTAAATATTTGTACATAATATAGTGTAGATGGGATATTAACTACGCATTGATAATAAATTGAATCACTTTCCTTTTTTTTTATTTAAATTAAAGATATCAGTGTCAATTTTCAAATGTCACTTTCAGTTGTAATAATTATTTTTCTTATCTGTAAATGAAACTCTGTACATCCTCGGTTACATCCTCCTGTAACCGACGGCTATTTAAATGTAAAATAAAAACGTTTTAATATGTTACTGGTTTTATCATAAAAGTATAAGTAAAGTAATAACTAATCTATTAAGCAGAATATAAAAACACCAGAGAATATTAATTATACTTCGTTGCTGCATCCTAGGAGATTTAATAAACCATGTAGTCCGTTCTCTGTTGTACTGCATCATCACACGAATTTTAGAATATTTTATAAAAATAAATAAAAAAGAAATGAAAAAACAGTATATCCGTTGACTAACATAGACAATGTTGGCTCTCATGACTGGCCGAGTGCTCATAGGTTTTCCGTGTGTTGCATCATCCGCGCGCGCGCCGTTTATATTTTTTTTCCATATAGTGAAATAGTTTAGTTTTAAGTGAATTTAAAGTGAAAAATGGGGAAAAGAACAAATGGAAGAGTGACGACGAGATTAAAAACAAAATAAGGCGTTTAGAAAACGAGTTAATGTCTCGTCAACGACCGTAACATAAATTTGTAAATGAGGGTAAGTACACCGCGCCACCGAGATTATATTGTTTTAACGTTTAACGCGATAAATTTTAAGAAAAAACGACTCCACTCAATATATATTTATTACATGTGGTGGCACGCGATGTCACCCGGAGATATCGTTGTTTACAACGATATTATATACAAATAGGAGTTAGATATGACAGTAGCGCACCGAAATCGAGGCACTCAAATTACAACAATTGGTGTAATTAGATTGTGATTCTATAGACTTCTTTATCTTTCCGCAATTTACGTTCCATATTATCTGTTTATATGTCATTTAATGTTAAGCAGAACAATTTTTAATCGCCGCGCAGTATGGACATGCGCCATCTATAATATTAAAGATCATTGTTTGTTTGATTTTACTTTCTTAATGTGATGACACGCAATGTCACTCTGAAAGCAAAATTAACTTAATAAATATTATATTGCTGAGTAATAGTAGTAGTAGTAATAGTAGTAAATGTGAAGCTGGCTAAATTTGGCTAACGACCCCTACGAGGATGGAAAATTTAAAGCATACCACGTGACACGCAGTAATGTGGGCACCAGCGACGAGGATGTTCCTGAACACTGAACAAATAGAATCAGTTGTTCAAGTGCATGCAACTACGCCTCTTTGCGTGTCGTTGGGGCCGGAACATGCAATTGAAGAGGTTGGCCTACTATCCCTACTGAAGGTGAGAAAAATGCTTTCCCTTTGGACATTTAGGTAGTACCTGTAGAGGCCAAAAAATCGGAGAAGAATTTAAAAAAAAAAACAGAACAGAACAGCAGAAATCTCTGAACGTTGGGGAAAAATATTTATCGAAGGCGTTTGGAAAAGATGCAAAAACCGACTAAGTACCGGTATCGCAGAGATAGTAGCCAAAGATCTCAGTCAAATAGATATTATCAAACAAATATCCGCGATAAATCAGATCCTACTCTATGAAGAGACAATGAATCGTAGACGGCTAATTATTCCAATGTTGGATAAAAGTTTATTAATATAATCCAAGGCGTGAAACGTGAAAAATTAATCTTTGGTGATACTTTAGGCAAAATCATTAAAGTTACCAAATCAATTGAAGAATCTGTACAACCGTCTACATCGCGAAAGTACCGAGCGACCCTCTGTCAGCCGAGCGAGCAGGGGGTGATGCGCCGCACCCCGTGCGCAGTCTCGCTACTATACGCCACTGCCGCCGGCTGCGCTGAATGCACCCCGTCGCCACCCGCCAGCCGGGCCGGCCGTAGCATCGGCGCAAGCGACGTTAGAGGTACCACACGCTGGTCGTATATCAAAGTCAAAATCAAAGTATCTTTATTCAATATAGGCTTAACTTAAGCTCTTATTGTACGTCAACAAAAAATCTACCACCGATTCACTAAACTAGACCTATACAGAGAAAAACCGGCAAGAGATTCTGCGGTCTTGTTCTGCTTGTTATTTTTTTTCTTTTGTGATGCAATTATACAAACTTATTGGGGTATGAAATCAGCAGCAGCCAGAGGTCTTGCAAGTGCAGAGCATGAGTCATTTCCACACATCCTTGTCCTCAATGTATTCTTGGACATTATAGTAGGCCCTTGCTATTAGGTTAGCTCTTACAAATTGTTTGAAATTGTTTATACTTTCTGGATGTCACCTATTTTATTATAAAAGTTGATGCACCTACCAAGAAACGACTTTCTGGTTTTAGCCAGTCTAAGCCTCGGTACTTCCAGTGTCACCACGGCCCCGACGTCACGTGGAATGTTTATTCGTAAATAGGTGGATATGTACGTACATACATGATGTTCTCAAGTATGTAAAGTGACTGGTAGTAACCAATTGTGTACATAGTATCATTACTATGTACACAATTGGCTAAATATTATAACTACCGATTCCCAAATATTGGATTATAGTAAATGGTTATAAAGTAATGTTCACTGGAACACCAATTCAATTTTTGGAATCACGTTATAACCGTGCTCTAAGACGGAAATGTCAAATTCGATCGAAAAACTTAAACAGTTAGGATCAATTGTACTATGTACTCATATTGCGGTTCAATTTATTTTACCTAATTTTTTTCCTAATTTCGAAAAGTAACTGTCCATATAGATTTATACTTCATTTGAAAGCACTGAATAAGTTTGTACTACAAAATAGTACATAAAAATGGTCGATATGTTTATACTCGTGCACAAATCCTATAGGAAGCATTTTATTTATTTATTTAAAAATGTTTTGCAAATAAAACGTACAATTCCGGACTTAACACCATTAGATGTTCTCTACCAGTCAACCGAAAATAAGTATCTCTTCGCGTCTCGAATGAATAAAAAGTGATCAAATTTTGTATCATGAAAACGACATCCAAATGCCTTGAATATACATTTACTGCATTTACTCTGAGATGGGAAAATTTAATTAATATATTATAATGTTCTATGTTTTCCCTCCTTTTACAATCATATAAAAATACTTAGGAAAAATTATTAACTAAGAGGCGACCGGTATAACGGTAGTAACCTTAATGGCCGAGTCAGCCTTGATTCCTGCTATACATGTTTCTTACTAGATCCAAAGTATTTTCCTTTGGGCCAAACAAAAACATGTTATTCTCTCTTTCCAGAAAGGGGCATCCTTTATGGCCCAGCCTTATCATGGAGTGCACAACGTTATCCGTGAAGCGTTCATTCTACAATAATTTGATAATGAGACCATTAATGTTACTATTTATTTTGTTGATATTACTATTGATCCAATCAATATCCAATATTCAACAGTATATATAATACGGCATACAAATTTTGGTTTGCATTTGTCAATTTTATATACAGGACAGCTACTTTGTTTTATATTATGTAGGGAAGAACAGCCGGACAGTTGCCCAGCAAAAGCTCTATCGGCTTACATAAATAAGGCAAGATTCTTGCGATGAAAGAATCTTGGATAGAATTTTTTTTTATAACTGTTAAAAAACCCATCTGAATAGCAAGTTCCCAAACGAAAAGTCATTGGGTTAAACAAGTATACCTTAAAAATATGGGTGTTGATATAAACATACAATTAGCACATATCACGCGACAAGCGCCCACATCGGCAGCGAATCGCGCTTTTGTGTCTCTAGTCGTGATAAAACGCGCGGCCGGATGGACCAGCCCCTCCTTCTGCCTTGCAAAATTTCTATAACTTACCTTTACCAGACATTCAAAGAGATAAAACTTTCGCTGACGGTTTCATGTAGATCAAAGTATAGACGTATGGTTATACATAATGAATAAGGTGATTTTCTGGTATATGTCCTATAGAGAATAATTGTAATATACTGGATTATTTTCATGATACGTTGTTTGTATCAGTCTGCAATTGAGCGCTAAACATCTACATGGTTTATTAAATCTCCTAGGATGCAGCAACGAAGTATAATTTATGGTTAATTGAACTTACCTTAAGTGAACTTCAACCATAATTATACTAGTTGCTGCATTCGTAGAGATTTAAGAACCCAACCCTTCCCTGAACAAATTTCCCCAAATAATTGCAGACTGAAGTAGGTATTGCTGTATGTATGTGTGCTCTAAAACGAATGAGCACTCGGCCAGTCATGGGAGCCAACATTGTCTATGTTAGTCAACGGATATACTGTTTTTTCATTTCTTTTTTATTTATTTTTATAAAATATTCTAAAATTCGTGTGATGATGCAGTACAACAGAGAACGGACTACATGGTTTATTAAATCTCCTAGGATGCAGCAACTAGTATAATTATGGTTGAAGTTCACTTAAGGTAAGTTCAATTAACCATAAATAATTAACGAAACTAATTTTACTTTTATGAGTGTTTGTGCCGAAATAAATTGAAAAAAAGAATAATAATTTCTGTATTAATATTAGACTACGGTTTTCTTTGTTGCTAGATGCTCCAAATGAAACTTATAAAATGCGAATAAGAACTGTTTTAAAGTGTCGAAAATAATGTTTTTGCGCTGCAGGATTCATATGCTTACGTCTTCCGGGTCAACTCTCCAAACAACTAAGCTAAGCGGCCGATGACCTCACGGAGACTTTATGAGACCTTTATCATTACTGTCCCCTTTAATTAAGACTAAGTGTCACATTGATATTTACAATGATTACAGTCCAATTGCAATGTGGGTATTTTCAAGAAAAGAAAATAGGCTTCTACTTATTTCCTTTGCAGCAAATTAAGCACCATGTATTCGCCATTGATGTTAATACCTCGTCCTTTCCAGTCCAGAAGCTTGAAAACATCTTCCAACGCAGCGGTGAAGAGTTTCGGGGATATGACATCACCCTGTCTTACACCCTTCTGCAGATGGATAGGTTTTGTACTACTGGACTGTACTTGGACGGACATCGTATACATCACCCACCTTCGATTTGCCGACGATATAGTCATCATGGCAGAACCGCTGGAGGACCTGGGTGCTATGCTCAATGACCTCAACAGTGTCTCCCAACGGGTGGGCCTTAAGATGAACATGGACAAGACGAAGATCATGTCTAATGTCCATTACACGCCTATACCGGTTGTTGTTGGGAGCACTGAGCTCGAATTTGTTGACGAGTATGTTTACCTAGGACAGTTAGTCCGGCTAGGTAAGTCCAACTTCGACGCAGAGGTCAATCGGCGAATCCAACTCGGATGGGCAGCGTTCGGGAAACTTCGGCAAATCTTCTCGTCGAATATACCTCAATGTTTGAAGACTAAAGTCTTCAGTCAATGTGTGTTGCCAGTGATGACCTACGGAACCGAGACGTGGTCCTTCACTGCTGGCCGTATGAGGAAGCTCAAAGTCGCTCAGCGAGCTATGGAGCGGGCTATGCTCGGTATTTCTCTGCGTGATAGAGTTCGTAACGAAGACATCCGCAATAGAACCAAGGTAACCGACATAGCTCAGAGGATTAGCAAGCTGAAGTGGCGTGGGCGATGGGCCGGCCATATAGCTCGTAGAACCGATAACCGTTGGGGGAAGAAAGGTTCTCGAGTGGCAGCCTCGTACTGGCCATCGCAGTGTAGGACGACCCCCCACAGAGATGGAGTGACGACCTGTACTATGGTACGAAATTTACTATATTTTCTTTGCTAATTCAACTGTTGCACTTTTTTTATGTTAAAAGGAACATATCTACTGCATGGCGTGGGGAATTCCAAAACAAAATTACCGACGTTGTTCTGTTGTTTTGTTTTTTATAAACGGCAGTTCTTATACTAGCAACTAAACATCAATTTCTCGCTGAATGCCGCCTATTTTTGGAGGTATTGTAAGATTGCTTATTTTGTACTTAAAATAACAATATGGAAAGCGTTGATGGTCTTATTACAATACTCAAGAAGAAGCAATTAAATAAGGAATTGAATGACTTTCATAAGCGTAAAATAGCGAGAAAAAACAGAATATATTATTTTATATTGTATATTAATTTACTTAAAAAAGATATTTAAGGAGCACTTTATGGCAATTAGTATTCTTTTCCAATCAGCCAAGGTATCCATATGTATTTCGTTTCAGCAAATGTAATTATTATGACAAGAGCTGTATTGGATGTCTATACTTCATTAGATATTTGAAACAATATTCCTTACTTTGAAAACTTATCCTCAATCTTTCTTTCTATAATCTGAATAAAAACATTGGTATTTATTGAAAAAAGTCAGGTTTTACTTACAAACCACATTTCTTTATAGATTAACTCAGGAAAAATCTGATAAATTATATATCTACAACTAGCTGACCCGGCAAACGTTGTTTTGCCATATAAATTATTTGTGGGGTAGAAAAAAATGATTGGGGTGGACCACCCTTAACATTTAGGGGGATGAAAAATAGATGTTGTCCGATTCTCCACCCTGGCCGCACACAAAATTTCACGAAAATCGGTCGAGCCGTTACATATTAGATTTCGTTTAACATAATTAGAATAATCTTCGCTTCGCTTTACAAACATAAGATCTCAAACTCGAAGTACATCTTACCATCGTTCAACGATTTTTATTTGACAAACTTTTCTGAAAAATATTTTTGATCGATCACAATAGACAACAGCAGGTGGCGTGGTTACAAATTACAATATTGGGGCATTCTAAATTCAAAATTCATCAAATATGTGTTTGATAAAATATGCATTGTCATTATAGGACCTGAACAACCGAAGACCGCCACACAGGGGCGAGTAAGCTTTTAGCTAAGAATATATATGTAACTAAAGTAGTTAAATTAGTTGCTAATATATTACATTTTGATTTACGATATTTGTTAATTTATTTTATTTAGAACTTATCAAGTAATCAGATAGTCTTCAAAACTGCTGGTACATGAAATGAGACAACTTTGAGTAACATTTTAATACTGGAAGAAATAATGGAAACTAACTATCAGGAATAATAGGTTCAGAAGCCGAAGTTATCGATAGCTATTATTACTATATTGTAATTGTTACGAGATAATACATTTGGTTTTCTTTTATAACATATATCTTGCTTAGCCTTGGTGGCAATAAATTGATATTATTTTGTAGATTATATATAAACCATAAATGTATCTAAAGATATAAACACCATTTTAGTTGATGCAAAAAACAAATAAAATGTAAGAATGTTTTATGCCAACAAAATTACGTTCACTAATTTAAAAAGGTATTCAAAGGTATATTTAAATACATGTTACTGTTAATTACTTTACGTAATTTGCTTAACCATCGTATAAATCATAGAATTCCACTCAAATTTTATTCATTGGAGCCAATTTCAAGGCAGGGTTTTGTTTTATATTACTTATTGCATTCAAGTGCTACCAATACGCTTTGGCTGCTCGCAATTCTTTTTTTCAAATATGCTTCTATATAAAAAGTTTTATTACGACCCTATTCAAAGTTTTAATTGGAAGAGCGAACTATGTACTATTCAACCCTGGACAGTCATTCGAAGTAGTTTAAAACACTGCCCGCTACCTTGTTGGAAGATGGTATATAATTTTATTGTTAACTGTACACATAGAATTTTAGTAGAATCACGTCCACCATTTAAGAGTTCATAAAACTTGAGTACCCATAGATTACTGTTAACTTAAATTCGTCTACCATTAAATTATTTAAGCAAGTGAGTGATTTGAGTGATCATTGGCGTAGCAATTAAACTTTCAAATCTCATCTAGAGCACCATACTCATATAAAACACTGTTCCATAATACTCCTACATTACAATAATGCACGTATTGCCTAGAACAAGAAAGGAAATCATTAAACTCTAAGCTTCACTTGTCTCAGAAACTTTTTAACATAATTTCGGAACATGCTCGAGCAGTAAGCGTGGATAGTTCATAATAAAAGCCAGCAACTATACGTACATAAATGACCGACACAATGTGTTGCGAAACCTGTCTTTAAACTTATTATATAACTTATTGCTGAACAGCGGCGATATAAATTTAACATGAATTTAACGATTTATTCGATCAAATAAAATATTAAAAAGCCTCTGCAACTATATAAAACAAAATTAAATTTATTTATGAATTAAAAGTATTATAACAAGCTTAAATTATTTTATTTGTAGCGTAGAAATACCGAGTCACATGATAAAAAAGTTACAAATAAACGAAATTAGCTTGTAACTGATTATTATTGATACGAATTTACCGACGACGCCATATTATTAATA